CTCTCTCCACATGGTTATACAAAAACACTTTCTCCTCCAACGGCACACTGACAGCCACTACCCAGAATATGTTCTCTTCAATTGTTCTTCGCCAGTCCCTGACTTCTCCCCTTGTCATCCTTGGTTTAAAGTCTGTTCGGTATGTAACGTCGCCCAAGTCGATGTAGTCCGTCTTCTTGTTCAGCATCCAGTCAGTGATGCTTTGTACTCTAGGGACATACGAGACCACATTCGGGCTCTCCACCTTGATTCGGCCTCTCTTGAATTCAGCGCCGAAGGTATCATCTCAAATCCAGCCATCTTCGTACGCCCAAATAACGTCTTCTTTCACCTTCTTAGGTAGAAACCTAGCACCATCCTTGAAGATGACAGTGACTGTCCTTGTCTTCAACCACTTAACCTTCACTTCGTCAATCTGATTGTTAAGAACAAACCTCACCTCCCTACCATCAACTTCCATGGACCCTCCATCAATCTCTGTAGGAAGGATACCTTCCTCGTAACAGGCGCGGACCATCTCCGAAATCAGTTCTTCCTCCAGACGGTAGTCATTCGGAACTTGTCCTCTTGCGTCCCCCTGTCCAGGAGGGGGGGCGGGAGGTGGTTCAACCTCCATTGACCCAACTTGAAGAAGTTAATCAGAGCTGAGATAAGCACACAGGGTGATACGCTAGAACAGTCGTAGAGGTGAGATAGAACAATCGTTAAAAGCAAAAACATAGACCAAAGAAGGACGGAGGGGAAAGAGGGGGGGGACTCCGGGCGAATCTCTGACCGCTAACACCATCAACTATGGCGAAGCCATAGCTCTTCGTCAACACGAAGCACCACGAGATGTTCACCACGGTTCAGGGTTCCACGGTGGAGCCTATGCCGCCGGTGAGGCCCGCCGAAAGGCCGGCAGCGCTAGAGCCGAGGGCGCAGCACCAGCGTTAGCGCTATTTCGCGAATCGGTGTCACCGATTCACTACAACTTTTCCGTAGACGGTGAGGGCTTGACTTGACGGCAGTGAAAAAGAGGGAGCAAGTTTTTTAATGTTTTTTTTTCCTCCTTTGTCCACTTGCAGCATCAGGAATGTCCGAGGCCCAAACTGTTGTGGCGTTTCGTTTGACGGAGTCTGTAACAGCCCATGGAAAACCGCCGCAGGTCCAAGAAAACCACCAAAGAAGTCACCCTTGAGGGATCCAGTTTCTCTTCTTTGTCGGCGCTGACATCTTCGTAGTCCTTTTTCGCATCTACAGTCGTGTAGTGGTGGGATCAGACCCTAAGGGCCTCCCCACACCACTCTCGAAATGTGAAAAAGACAAATGTGGCGGGTGCATCTGGCCATGTTCTAGCAGGAAGTTCTTTCTCATTTTGCACATTTCCAGAGTGGTGTGGCGATACCCTAAGTGCAACCAGGCCTCCAGTTGGACACTATTCTCATTTTTCTCTGTCCACGCTGTGCATAAGAGGACACGCGTGGCGGATGGAGAGTAGGAGCATGGCCACACCACTCTCAAAATGTGCAAAATGAGAATGAACTTCCTGCTAGAACATGGCCAGATGCACTGGCCACATTTCTTTTTTTCACATTTCTAGAGTGGTGAGGCCCTAGTGCCCTCAGTAGGAATTGTGAGATCCTCCCCTCTTTCTTTATTTTATTTTGTTTCGGATCTGATCAGAACAGATTTACTAGTACACTTCATCTTTAGCCAAACGGCAAAGAGAATTGGGGCCTAGCCACACAGCCTTTTGAGACGTGCAAAAATGGATGGCCCATCTTCACCACACATGCTTTCGAAACAATTCCTGTTGTAAAAACCTTTGAAAAAACTTATTGAAAGCTGTCAGAGACGCACGTGAAGCAGTTTCAAAAAGGCAAGATCCTACCACCTGTCACCAAGTGTGTTTTTTTTTTCTTTTTTTTTTTTTGGGTTGGTGGTCTTTTGGAAAGGGGCTCTCGAGCCCGTCTATTAGCAAAGAAGTTAAAAAAAAAAAAAAAAAAAAAAAAAAGGGGCAATTACTACCAAGGCCTGGCTACACTACTCTCAACATGCACAAGAGAGGAAATTAATATCATGGTGGGGTGCATATTTCCATGTTCAAGGGGAAGATTCACACCATCCTTTTGCACGTGGCGAGAGTAGTGGACGGAGGCCGTAATGTGCATATCGAAAGCCCTGGCTGTTTCGAAAATCTGTGTGGCAGGCAAAGGGGGGGGCTTCTTCCAAAAGTACTCTTTTCGAATTCCCTCTTAGGGCCTCGCCACACCACTATCGAATCGCGAGTTTTTTCGATAGGTGTCAGAAAAATTCGATAGTCCGGCATTCGATAGAACCCCCCCCTTTCGCCTGACAGCACTATCGAATCGGTAGGGTATCGAATGTTTTCCGTTCCGGGTCCGCTTTCGACTGTCCGTCGTTTGTGTGTGGTCCTGTCCTCTAGCGCGTGTGCGGGCGGTTTTTCGATAGTCCGGAATGTGGGCTATCGAAGAGAAGGCGATTGCAGGCGGACGTGCACATTTCGTTCGATAGGGGTATCGAATTCCCATGTCTGACACCTATAGAAAATTTTCGAAGCTGCATTTTTCGATAGGCTATGTGGCGATGCGAAACTATGTAAAACTCGTGTTTCGATAGTGGTGTGGCGAGGCCCTTACAAATTTCGGAAAATGGGCCTCGCTGCACTACTCTCCACATGCAGAAAAGACAAAATATGGCGGTGCATCTTTCCGTGTTCTAGCAGAAGATTCATTCTCGTTTTGCACCTTTGGAGAGTAGTGCGGCCAGGCCCAATGCCTTGTTTTTCGAAAGGCTGTGCAGGTAGCCCCCTTGGGCTACGGCATTCATGTGAGGGACGCCCAGAGAGTGGCAGGCCACTTCCCGGTTTTATAACGTAAAATGACTTCTAAAAAAAAAAAAAAAAAAAAAAGAAGAGGCCAAGAGAAATATAATTCCACAACAACAAAAAGAAGAGAAAAAATAGAGGAGAACACTCCACCCACCATCAACCAACAGCCTTGCATTCCCCAGAAAGGTAGGGCCTCGCCACACCACTCTCGAAACGAGAAAAAAAGACAAACGTGGCGGGGGCATCTGGCCATGTTTTCGGAAGTATTTCATTAAACGTGGCAGCTAAACAAGCAGCCCCACCCTACTCCCTGAGCACCCCACCCTACTCCCTGAGCACCGGAGCGGGGACAACATGCATACCATTAATTCTGAGAGGCAGCTGAGCTTGCAGGTGTCCCCTGTATAGGCTTAGGAGTAGTGGTAGGTATGAAAGGTGAAATTGTGGCACCGAGGCGCTGTGGGTCAGGAGTCCGGGAGTCCGTCCCGACAAAAAAAAGTCCAGGAGCATCCAGCCTAGTCCGACAATCCCATGTCCACTTTTGCAGCACGTCCCTGAAAGTCCAGAAGCTACGGGACGACAAATGTTTGCAGCAGACAGGCCCCGGCCGGCCAGTACTGCTCTGAAGCAGGCCAAGCCAAGCCAAGGAAATCCAAGCCAAGAGAAGCCAAGGGAAGCCAAGGAAGTCAGGCCCTATATTTAGCTGCTACAGTCCAGCGGCTCATCACTTGTGCGTTAAGGCAACTTGGGCACTGTGCGCCCAAAGAAGAAGAGGGCACTGTGCGCCAAAAGAGAGAGACTTCATAGCCAGACTAGGCATAGAGCAGGAAGACGGACGCCATAGCCGCCAAGCTGTAAGCTACCTGAGTGGGTGTATCCAGGGTGACGATCCAGGGTAGAGAGAGAGCGAGGGAGAGCATGTCAACTCAGAGAGAGAGACGAAGAGGACAAGCCATAGCCGTTATCTGGTTGAGATCCATTGTGCGTGTGCGTGCGGCAAAGCCGCCGGAGACGAGCTTTGGAGACGACATCTTCAAGTGTTGATTGTATCTCGATTTGGCTTCTAACGTGTGAACTCTCATGTGAATGTTCATTGACGTACGCAAGGTTGACGAAGAAGAAGAAGACAGATGAAAAGAAGAAGAAGGCATGTATGAAAAGAAGAAGAAGAAGAAGACATGGATGAAAACAACAAGGAGAAGGAGAAGCAATGCCAAAACTAGCTCACGAACACAAAGAAAGACATGGATGAAAACAACGAGAAGAAGAAGAAGAAGAAGAAGAAGAAGAAAGAAGAAGGAAAAGCAATGCCGAAACTAGCGCACGAACACAAAGAAAGACATTTCGTTGAATGACTGGTTCATCAAAGCCCGGCATGGGGACAACCCTCGACGCTTTTCGATAAATTCAAGCCAGGGTACACGGGGCCTCCGGAGGGAGGCTCTACCACCTCACTCCCACGTAGCTTCCTCCATATCTTAACCTCCCGGTACACGGGCCCCCAGAGCCTTGCGGAAACTGAACTCGGGCGCACCACCCCATCGCAGCTTTCCCCATTGAAACGCGAAGCAGCGATTTTTTTTTTTTTTCTTTTTTTTTTTTTTTTCCAATCAAGACGCAGCTTATATTATAAAAGTCGTTGAACCAGGCCGGGAATCCCTCAACATCTCAACCCGGTAGTGAAGCTTGTAAAGCAGCGACTTCGCCGCGATGCTTCCCACGAAAAGATCTTTACACCGCTTCAAAAAAAAGAGGGGAAAAAAAACACCAGAAAGAGACATGCGCAGAAGAATTTTCAAAGGACTTTGCAAAAATGAGCTCGACATGCGCAGAAGAATTTAAATTGCAGTTCGGAGGAAGCGGAAAAAAAAAAAAAGGACTTTGCAAATCCCGTATTAGATGACACGTAAAAACACGAGACGAAACGTTAGATGACACGTAAAAACACATAGCCGCGACTGACACGGCTCTTCTTTTTTTTTTTTAAAATAAAACTCACAAGATGAGCCTGCCCGACTGACACGGCTCTTTTTTTTTTTTTTATTAATCAAACTCACAAGATGAGCCTGAGATAGGAAACACAGGCGGCAAAGCCAACTGGGGATGGCAAAAAAAAAAAAAAAAAAAAAAAAAAAAAAACAGACACTGCCACCCGTCTTTACCCCAATACACTTGGCGCAATTTGCAGCCCAGATGCGGCGATAATGACCAGGCGTTCCATTCCGGTGAAGACGGTAGCTAATAGCTACCACCCGCCTAGCCCCCATAGCACTGCATGCCCACCAAAGATACGACTCTAATATGAGAAGAATTTCAAATACACTTCGGCATTATCGTGAATGGGTACAACTCTGAACCTCAAGAAACGCATCACAGCTTCTGCTGCACAGATTCTTGCCGAACATTATTGGGGCTCGCTCCACTACTCACCAAATGTGCAAAATGAGAATGAATCTTTTTCTAGAACATGGAAAGATTCACCGCCATATTATTTTCTGTCTTCTGTCTATGTAGTGTAGTTGAGCGAGGGCCATTGACAATACCTTCCTCAGATCCTGCTGCAGAGATTCATACCGAAGTTTCCACAATTGCTTCCTCGAACACTCGAAGTATCACAGTCGCTTCCTCGAACACTCGCCGAAGTTCACAGATCCTTCCTCCCTCGAAAACTCGTCGAAGTTTCACAGTTCCTTCCTCGAACACACTTCCTCGAACACTCGTCAGTTTCACCGTTCCTTCCTCGAATAGCTTCTGCTGCAAAAAAAAAAAAAAAAAAAAAAAAAGAAGCTTCTGATGCAAAAGAATCGTGCCGAATAGCCAGCTATCAAACGAACTGCAGAGACAAGTCTAGGATCTAGCCCTCATAGCTCATCAACTCAGCTCCGAAGGACTGCATTATCGTGAAACGTGAATCTGGACACCTTGTGAACTCGAGACACGCAGTAGATCACCACAGCTTCTGCTGCACAGATTCTTGTTGCCGAATATTCACGATTCCTTCCACGAAGATTCTCCTCTCTTTCACCGTTGCTTCCTCCTTCCCTGTCAATCATAACATTTTCCGATGTTACGCGTGTCTTCACTTTCCATTCGCCCCACTGTGTCCAGGGTGCGGGGTGGGACATGCTGCACTGCTCTCTTCCAGCCCCTTGTGAGTCGCCTTTCCATTCGCAGATGCATTTACCGAGTCAGAAAACGCGAAAAGAAAAAACAAAGAGTTACAAGCAGAGTAAAGTAGTCGAGCAGGTCGAAGATCGAAATGGAATCAGCAAATCCCAGTGAATCGGAGCGCGAAGTGAAATCACCAAATCGCACTGCAGGAAACGGACAGGGTTTACAACCCAAGGGCGAAGCTTGGAAAGAAACGAGACGAGCTCGAAGACGAAGAAGTCGGGAGAACTAATCAAGCCACCTATTTGATTCGTAGAAGAGTTGTGCCCAATGACTAGCCGACCCTTCGGACAATCGCTCCAATCAGCAAATTCAAAATATCAAAACTTCCCTTCCTCCTAATAGGGGGCGTGGTCTGCTAGAAGACGCTGACGCATAGCCACGGGAAGAGCTCGTGAAACGCACATCGGAAATGCGTGGACTCCTCGCAGCGTATGTACTCGGTCACCCTTCGTAATATCTGGCAGTCAACCCGCCTCTCTCTGAGGCGAAAATACTCGGCCGATCTTAATAACACCGATTCGCGATGGGATCGGCAAAGCCTACGGTACTTTACGCCATCTCATCTCCTAGCCCGCCTCTCTCTCTCTCTCTCTCTCTCTCTCTCTCTCTCTCTCTCTCTCTCTCTCTGTGTGTGAAGCAAATACTCGGCCGATCTTAATAACACCGATTTGCGATGGAAGCGGCAAAGCCTACGATGATTTACGCCATCTCATCTCCTAGCCCACCGCTCTCTCTCTCTCTCTCTCTCTCTCTCTCTCTCTCTCTCTCTCTCTCTCTCTCTCTCTCTCGCTGAGGAGCAAATAATCGGCCGATCTCAAGTACATCGGTTTGAGAAGCGACAAAGCCTACGATGAATTACGCCATGTCATGTCCTCACCACCACACACACCTGGAATTGCTAGCGCCTTCCATCTCAGAAGCGACTATAGCCCATCGTGAAAGTTGCAAACGAGAAACAGAATACACTTGAGACGGCCAATGTTGGAAAGATGTACTCATTCTCAATCCATCACTGTCACCAGAGCACTAATTAGCCTCTAAAACGAAGCCTCTAGATCGCTTACACCACGCCATCGCTTGTCATCATCACCTACATTCAGGGCATAGATCGCTTACACCACGCCATCGCTTGTCATCATCACCTTCATTCAGGGCAGTAGCCTAAGACAACACGTCGAGACCTGAAACTAGCTTCTAGAACGAAGCCTTCACTCGCTTACGCCACCTCATCATCGCTTATCAGAACCACATTCATCACCACACTGGCGTACAGTAGAGCATGTCAACCCGGACTTGAGAAAAAGGACGAAGATAGCTTAATAGATCATCAGCTGTGGCGAATCTGGCGATGAGAGCAGGAGCAGATCAAACCGAAGCAAGAAAGCTATCGATCCCACTTCAATTCCAGGGGGCATTCTTTTTGACGTATATAGATGGACGTGTTCGCGATCAGATACATCCAGGTCCGACCGTGAGCTCAGATACATTAAGGATAGAGCTCGTGTGATTACGCCCTCAATCATGGTCGATCGCTCCGACAGCAAAAACAAGGCCCTTGTCGCCCGACGTATTCAATCAAGAATCTCCATCAGCTATTTCAGAAAGAAGAGGTTCAAAAAAAAAAAAAAAAAAAAAAGAAAAAGAAAGAGAAAGAAACAACGGAGGACCCCCTTCAATAAGAAAATTTCGAAAAAAGTAATCACGACCTTCCACGCCTCCAGTTATTACATCTAACTTGGCTGGATTCTTCATTTCCGGCCGTTGATCTTCATCATAACCAATCCACCCTCGGAATCGAGAATTCGAGATGGCGGGACATTGTTCCCGGTGAATAAACACCTCTCCTCTGCATCTAAACGCCTCCACGTGTATCTCTAACACTCTACGTTTACCCCCCACCACAAAAAAAAAAAAAAAAAAAAAAAAAACCTAACTGCCCACGTTTCTCCTGATAATTGATATAGCAGTACAAGTACATTGCATGTTTTACCGATACAAGTGGTAGTCCTCTACGTAAAGTACAATAAATAAGTCTACCAGGGATAAAAAAAAAAAAAAAAAAGACCACGGATTCACGGAACACAACATGGTGCCGCGCTCGATACGTTACAACGGCCGACGAGATTGTGGTCAGATACGTTACAATGGCCGACGACATCAGATGAGCGGAAGCGACGAACAGCCTCGCACAAAGGAACAGTTTCAGGGCATGATACTCACACACTTGGACTTCATTGTGGTCAGATTCATCCAGGCGAGGCCGTAATTGCAGCCAGATACACTTAGCGAAGTGCTAGTGTGAGTATACCCTCAACAGAGCTGAAAAGCAACAGAGAAGTACAGGGGAAGTGGAGGATCGAAAAAGGGGGATCGAAAAAGGTCTGCAAAGCAACAGAAAGCCGTACAGGGCAGGAAAGTAACAGAAGTGCAAGATCGAAAAAGGTAGAAAAAAAAGACTGACAAGAGAAAGAAAAGTGCAGAGCGACAGAACAGTGGAGACCAAATGGTGTCATCCACAAAAGAAAAAGGAACGAAAACGGGAGAAGCGATTAGCGTGCGCCAAACAGAAAAGAGGCAGGCTAGGAGGAATGAGCAGGACGATTTCCCACCAAAAAAAAAAGAAGCAATACGAAAAAAGAACCAAAAAAAAAAAATCGAACGTCTAATAGCAAGTGAAGTCACCCAGATCGGTAAGAGCATGACACCTTTTGCCTATCCTTGAAACCAGTAGGGATGCAGTTCATTGCCGTCATGCGGCAAAGTTTCCCAAATATGGAAAGTCGGACGGATATAGGAGTCCTGAGAGGTCTACCTGTCCTCATATAAGCTGCCCCATAATCATGACGAAGGGCCTCCCAGTTGGTGGATCCCGACGCCTTGACTTCCATCCCGACAACGCGACCTGAAGCCGGGACTCCCATTACTACTAGAGACAACCAGCCGTACACATTACCTCTGATAAAAAAGGTGATAGCATTGAATCGACCGCAAGGCACTGTTCTAAACCTAATATCAACGACCCCAGCTCTTGGGTCCGCAATGATTGGAAACACTCTAACGCCTAAGTCTAGATGGGCTTTGCCACCGGCGCAGTGTCGAAGATTGGGAGGAATAGGAGGACAGAGATCGGTGACAGTGACGCGAGCGGTCCCTGCTCTGCAAGGATAACCATTCCCACGACACTGCACTTCGAAACAGCCGCCACAAGCGCGTCCAGACTCAAAGATGACAGGAGATGCCGCTGCGTAGTTGTGCCCAACAAACGCCGCCGAAAGGGTACCATAGCCACAAGCCCCGTTATGCTCATTATCACCTCCGAAAGCCTCACTACCATAATAGGTCGCTCGGCCATCCTGCCACAAACCAGGATTTCCAGCGAAGAGGTTGCAAAGACTGCTGACCAGACTGGCACGGGCACTGAACTCCGCCTTTGACAGCAGAGCCAGCCAGATCGTTATCACCAAAAGAACCTTCGGCAACTTCAAGGATTGCAGTGAAGAGAGACTCGCTCCACCATCTCCGAGTCCACGCAGAGAACGGCGGCCCTTCGCCGACATAGACACCTTTCGCATCAACTTAAAGAGCTCCTCCATCCTAGCTACTACGACGAATGGCAATCAGACCGGAGAAGGAGACGTAGTAGGAGAGCAATCAGACCGAAGAAGGAGACGTAGGAGAGCAATCAGACCGGAGAAGGAGACGTACGAGAGCAATCAGACCGGATAAGGAGACGTAGAAGAGCAATCAGACCGGAGAAGGAGACGTAGGCGAGCAATCAGACCGGAGAAGGAGACGTAGGCGAGCAATCAGACCGGAGAAGGAGACGTAGGAGAGCAATCAGACCGGAGAAGGAGACGTAGGAGAGCAATCAGACCGGAGAAGGAGAGCGATCGAGCGGAGGAGGGCAATCAGACCGGCGAGAACGGATGGCAAGAACGCGCTCAAGAGCGGCAACCTGGCCAGTGTCAATGGGAGATAGAGGCAACAACAAATCATAACCTCCCACTAATTTCTTCTCCCCACAGCATCGAATGAGAGAGAGAGAGAGAGAGAGAGAGAGAGAGAGAGAGAGAGAGAGAGAGACGGCCTCAGAAAGAGATACAAAGAGGAAACTGGAGTGAAACGCACGCACTTTTGTGTGTGTGAGAAAGAGAATGAGAGAGTATGACAGGGCGATCCAGACGGAAGTGCCGCCGACCGGATCTCATAACACCCACAGACTTAGAAGAGAGAAATAGAACGTCTCTGTGTAGGCGATCCGGCCGCAGAGTACGAAAGGGAGCTTCAGACGCCAGGCCAGATCTAATAACACATGCTGAGAGAGGAACAACACGAGAGAGAGAGAGAGAGAGAGAGAGAGAGAGAGAGAGAGAGAGAGTTTATGTGCACGCGACCCGACCGAAGTCCTTGTCAGTAACAACGCCGCTGATTGCCGGCCACATATGTATGACAAAATCCGTTGACGCCAGCAGCCACTCCAATGTCGACGACGATAGAAGCAATATGCCCGAAGGACGGCTATTGCGTGAGCTCTGCCGTCGCTTCTGGTGGTGTCCTCCACACGACCAGCAAGCTAGAGACACCCACGGCACTTGGCAGATCCGTATAAATAGGCAAATCGTGACAGATCGGCCAAAAGGCCGACAGAGCGGCGCCATGGTCCCGGAGGTTGCTCGATGGCGCCCTTTTTGGGCAATGCACTGTTCACTTCAGCATTTTCACATTAAATGTGTTTGGAGCTGGTGATGAGGTCCAGATACATGCAAAACGAAAAAGAAAACAAATCGATCGTTTCCGAATGGAAGCGGTCCGCGTGGCACTCCACGTAGTTGTGGAATGTTGAGTGGTTTCCCAAAAAAAAACAAAAAAAAAAAAAGAATGTGGAATGTTGAGCAGCGAGGCGGCGGGGGCTTGTTCGTTTTGTATTTTAGCACTTTCCGACGCGTCGTGGTGTCGCTCCACTACTACACGACAGTCGAGATATGTATCTTGTCTAGTTTGATGGGTCCGAAACGTATGTGGACGGCTTAACCGTGCAGATACACGGTGTATGTTAGGCAGTGGAGCGACGCTGCTCACATCATTACTCGACACCGGCTCCATTCAGTTCAGCTGCTACCCCCGTCTTCACCCGACCAGAACGCCCGCCGGTCGCTATTTCTGTATCTGCTCTGTATACTATTCAAAATACGTGGTCGCTATTTCTGTATCTGGACTGGAATACATCTATAATATAATTCGGGACGTTCTATTCGGAGGAAGACGGCTGTAGGACCCGGCCGCTGATCCCGTTAGCTCCCGCCACCTGTCCTTGGCCACGTTCTTTTTTTCTTCTTTTTTTTCCTTTTTTTTTTCTTTGTTTTGTTGTGGTCCGATGGATCTTAGCCAAAAGGCCGTAGAAAGGTATTGACACGTTAAATTCTTTTTTTTCTTTTTCTTTCTTTTTTTTCTTTGAATGAAGTTGCAGCTTCGGTCCCTGAAAGTCGCGGTTTAAAATTTGGGCCCCCCCAAATTGAGCTCGGCGGCAAATTGCAGAGACTTGGGGCCTCGCTGCAATACTATCCAAATGTGCAAAATGACACTGAATCCAGCCTTATAACATGGAAATATACATTGCCATCTTACATTTGCGATCGTTTTTGTCGTTTGTGCATGTGGGCAGTAGTGCAGCGAGGTCCCTTGGCCGTTGAAGACTACCGCCGTTGAAGACTACCGCCAGAAAAAAAAATGTTGTATTTGATTCTGTTCTGGGCCTCGCTCCGCCTCTGTCCAAATGTGGAAATGCAAAATGAGACCGAATCATTCGGTGAAAACATGGAAAGATACATTGCTATTCATTTTGTCGTTTGTGCATGTGGAGGGGAGGGGAGCGAGGCCCTTGGCCTGGATTAGAACACATGTCGTCATTTCATCAGTTGGTTTGTCGGCAGAGAAAGGGGGAAAACAGAGAAACAACCAGAACTTCTCACCCCAAAAAAAAAAAAAAAAAAAAAAAAAAAAAAACAGAAAGCAATAACTGTCCCGATGAACGTTCGCACGCTCCCTACCACAGGCCCCCCCCGAATGGACTTCTCCATTTTCTTGAGGTAGGATGCATCCTGGGAAATGCCCCTGTGAAGTGGGCGTCTTCAGGGATTCATCAACCTATGGGGACTGTAGGGCAGGACAAGAAAATTCCCTGGACCTGGTCCCATACGCGCATTTCCCAAATTCCCATTTCTGGCTGTCTATGGGTTTCGCTCCACTACTCTAGAAACAGGCCATTACTTGAGTGCTGCAGGGCTCCACTTCCTCTAGACGCCAGGTCTGGAATTCGGGTTCTTTAGCTGTCAGTCTGCACTCACGAAACAGAATCTCCACTACCTCATGAAATGGACTCACTCAAATGTTTTTCTTGAGTTGTCTGAACCTCCTCTCCCGTGGCACTCTTTTTTTTTTTTTTTTTTTTTTCCTTACTGAAACAGCCCAGTCGATTGCTAGGGGTGCTGCTGGTAAGAGCAGACCCCCTTAGCACTCTCCGGAAGGCTCCATCTATTAGTGGGGAGCTGCACCTGCTGGAAAACGGGTCCAGCGTCCCAGTACAATGATGTGTAACTGATGATGATGATAATGTACATGAGTTTGAAATAGAAACTGAGTATTGACGGTTCAAGAGCGCCCACCTGCAGCAGGGGGAATTTCAAGGGAGGCATCGAGGACCTTAGAAAGGGTCTCGCTGCACTACTCTACTTCGCGAAAATTCGGAGAGTTATGCATCGCTGCACTAACTCTACTTTAGAACGCCAAAAGAAATTCGGAGAGCTGTCAGAAACCACAAAAGAATTGTACTCTCCGACGCCGGAGAGTGCCCAGCCTGCAAAATCCGTTACGCGGATAGACCTTTGAAGGAACCACCGATTTGCTCCAAATCTGGAGAGTGAACCTTGAGTCTGGGCAGACAAACGGGGACTTTGAGCTGTCGTTTTGTACCCTCGATAGTTGTAGAGTCTGCGTTTGTAGAGTTAGTGCAGCGATGACCCAAAATCCGGGAAATCGGAGAGGCTGACAACTCTCCACGTACTCTCCGATTTCCCGGAGAGTGGAGAGTAGTGCAGCGAGACCCAAAGTCGAGCACTTTTTTTAGAGTGCACCTGGAGTCTGGGCGGACAAAGGGTACTGGCTTTGTCCTGTAGCTCTCTCGAAAAGCGGTCTGACATCCGAGAGGCCTTCTCGAGTTCGACCGTCTAGAGTAAGGGTCTCGTTAGACACTCCTAAAAGTGCCTGTTTTTAGGATTGCGTATTCGTTGCACGCAATCCTAAATCCAATTTTGAGGTCGAAAATGTGAAAACGGTGTTAGGACGAGTCCTAAAGGATTTAGGATTCCCCAGGCAAAATCGTCCTAAATTTTTCAGTAGCCCCCGACCTACTGAGAAATTTAGGATTCCCGCGTTCCATGGAGTCGTTTCGTCGTGCGCATGGCACCGTCCACACGGGGTTGCTGGTCCAGGAGCAGTCCGTCTGGTGGGTGGTCGGACATCGGAGGTTTTCCATGGGTCGAGGCCGGCAACGGCCGCCAATGGTAGCCGTTGGCCGACGCGGTGGAGCGCGGGGGGGGCGACCATGGGCGGGGTGACATCCGTAGTGGACC